TTCAGAAGGGACCAGCACACTGCTAAAGAAAATTCCGCCGTTAATCAGATCTGTCCAGCCAGAATAATCTATTCCTAAATTCTGTGCATAGCAGTGTTGGGTCTCAGGTGAAAACTCTCGGAAAAAGGAACCATAGTCTAACGAAGACTGAATGAACTTCTTGGTTAGCAACAGTCCTATATTTTTGTCCCTTTCACAAGTATCAATTTCGTGCTTGTCGGGCTTATCGCATTGCGAGTGTTGTAGAGATGGTGCAAATTTTATTACCATCACCTTACATCGTGCAGTCCATGATCAATGATCATGAGCAAGCCAGTACCACGGCTTTGCACCTCAACTGCGCAAGGGATACAACGACGTCATCGGATCCGGGGAGTCGCACGTTGTAGCCGCGTGGAACTGGAAGACTATATTCACGTTGTATCTAACTTCTCTTCACGTTACACTCAGAATCTCCGACACTAAGCTCTCATTCCTTGACATCACGCTACGCGTTATTGATTATCACATCAGCACTTCTATTCAGTACTAGGAAACCGACACCCACACCTCCCTTTATTATTAGTCCTCACACCCTAGTCACTGCAAAAAAGGTCTCCCTCGCAGTCGACTCCCTACCCTGCGAGCAGAGGCTACATTTTCGCACGCCATTTCATACCGCGAAAATGTAGCCTCTGCTCGCAGGGTATCGACTCCCACGACTTCGCCGTCCGTTTTTCACCAAACTAGAAACTAAAATACCTGACTTCAACTCACTTTCACACGGTACTTTAATATCTCTTCTTATGAATTCTTCTGATTATCTAATTAACTGTCAATTAGTTTCATTTATCTCGCAATGCTTTGAATTAAGAACCAAATTAATATCAATGAATGAATGAATGAGAACTGTAACGTTCGTTAGCTATAATTTTTGTAACAAACTGTAACGTTTGTTAGCTGTAATTTTTTAGGACATTGGAAATCTGTCAATAGAGGAACCACACAAGGTAGTGTAAGCGGACCGTATCTTTTTAATATATTTTTGAATGACTTGGAGATTTTCTTTAACGGTTGCCCTCTTCTTTTTAAATACGCCGATGATTCCATTATAGTTTCGCCTATCACTGGGAACCGCGACCCGTCAGCCGACTTAGTAGGACAGCTCTTAACCTGGTGCGAAAACAATAAAATGGTCTGCAACCCTAGTAAATGTAAAGAGCTGGTTGTTAGAAAGAAAAATCACAATGTACTCTACTCTCCAATTAACAATATTCCTCAATGTAATAGCTTCGTTTTACTAGGAGTAACTCTACAGAGTGACGGGAAATTCAATGAGCATGTAAGAACCAAGCTTGTCAAAGCAAACAAGTGTTTACACGTCCTACGAACACTAAGAAAGGAACACTACTCTCAGGCAGAGATAGATCACCTTTTTATATCTATTGTTTTACCTAATTTTAGCTATGCGCTTTCAGTCTATGGGGCATCGGAGTCCGATCTTACGGTTATACAAAATTTTTTAGACCGATGCCATAAACGCCGTTTTATTTCATTTCCAGTTTTTATCAAGAATCTTTTAAATAAAGAAGACCAAAACATTTTAAAGAAATTAATATCAACTGATTGCCACTCACTAAAACATATCATTCCTGTCCAGAAGACGTATGTACATAATCTTAGGAAAAAAGGCTGTGTACGTCCAAAAATTAATACAGAGCGTTTTATGAACACCTTTGTAAATAGGTTGATTTTTAAGCTCCATTTATTGTAATGATACACTTTTTTAATATATACATATAACGTAGATATTTTTATCATAGTTTTTATCTTCTCTTATTGTAACATAAGATATGTAGTTTTATCTTTTGGTGAAATAAAGACTCATTATTATTATTATTATTATTATTATTATTATTATTATTACGTTTTGTAATGTTTTACACGTACTAATTAGTTGAATTAGTACTTAAGTTTAGACTAATAGCTTTTGCAATACTGTAATTCCTTTATGGTCATGCAAATAAAGCTTTTGGTGTTGTCGTTGTTGTTGTTCTGAAGACTCACATTTCCAGGAAAAGGGTAGTCATATGGTGTCCTTTTTTGAACAACGTAGATACTCCCACGCCCTTTTTGCAGGACGATCTTCATGCCATCCGACGAACTGACCGGATTGATGTCTTGAACAATCACCACCCCTCTAATCAAAGGTCGGATAGGTACTTGGGTTAATTTTTGCTGGTATGTGCCGCTGTGCGACCTCATTCTAGTAACTCTATTGAAAATTCTACCCCATTATAGTCAATCCAGTCGTGAAAATGCGACCCCATCCAGCGGCACATCCCCATTAGCCTCTTATAAGGAAGTACCCCCCACCCCGCCCCGCCCCGCTGGGGCGACGAAGTCGCAGCAGAAACCGGGAACGAGCTTTGAGAAAGTCTACTCAGGAGCGTGCGCAATGTAAAGTGAAGTTATATAATTAAAGATGCTACTGGGTGTAGTACTTGTCAAATAAAACAAGCACAATGGTCACTCCAAAGAAATTTGTTTATTATGTTCACTATGAAAAACAAAACAAAAAATAAAATTTGGCACTTATCAAAATGCGACGTTCAAGAAAACAAATAAATATCCTTGTTACATTGTAGCCACTCTACCTGCTGTACTGATCTACGAGTTGGCTAACACTGCTCTTCATTCTTTGTAAACTATATTCGATTTCTTTAATGCTGTTTTCTACAGCAAAAATTAAAACAGAAAAAATGTTTGTTTGTTTGTTTTTTTCATTTGAAGGTAATCAATAAATCATTCTCTGTAAGGTTGGCACATAAATTGGTTGATAAAAAATAAGCTGACTTTTTCTTCTCTTCGTACAACAAAAACGTACAAGTACATGAAATAATATCATACATTAATTTCCTCACGTAAAGTAATAAAGTAATTAACATAATAATATGGCCCGGTGTAGATACAGTCTAAGGCCAGTTGGCGGACATAATAAAAGTTGTATTCAAATCCAATTTAACTTTTGTTAATCTTCTGCAGGTTTGTTATTCAAAACTGTGAAAAGGGCTTGGTCTGGGAATATCGGTGGAAGAATATTTGCTGGTGCCGCCGTTTTTCGAGTTTAACCTGGAAGGCAATCCACTCTTGTCTTGTTCAATTTTCCCATCTGTGCTACTTTTGGCTACTTTTCTATATTTTTATATTTTATACATTGTTTTTGTACTTTTTGAAGCATTTGTTTGTTTGTTCTTTACACTGCTGCTAATTCTGTGACCATTATCGCCTGACAAATCTCAACCAAGCCCCCTTAATTGAGCAGATTTCCTGATCACCTTTACTTGGAAGAAGACCAGCACAATATATTACTAAAAACGTGAACGAGGATTACATCGCTCTTGCAGTTTACATCGCTTTCTGTATCATGTTGTTCTGCAGTTGATGTATCAGATTCAATGGATCAATAAAAGCAATAACATGATCAATTGATTCCAATTTCCATTAAACTGCAAGTATTCATGCCATTGTTATAAGGATAAATAAGTTGCTCAGTCACTATCAAGGCTTTACATTAATTTCTACAGTGTTAGTAGGCAACTTAATCATCAAACTATGTCTGTTTTTGCTTTTTCAGGTTTTCCACCTCATGGATAAAGTAACCATGGGCCTGGAGGAAATAATTACACATTTCAGAGAGAATTGCCAAAAACACTAATAAAGCGTTACAAATACATCATAAGTTATTCTATTTCATCTTGTTTATACTACTGCTCTGACTGAACAGAAGCAAAGGATAAAAGTTCTTGATGGTAGAAGTTTTGAGTGAACTGAAGGTCACAAGAAAGAATACAGGCAATGTTGAGCTAAATAGTCATAAAGGAAAAATAAGTCAACTATGTATTAGATTCTTGATCAGCCTTTTAAACAGGCCACCATAAAGAAAATTACTTAACATCTGCTCCACTTATAAAGAAAAAAGGAACAGACTTCAATTAATTCCATCAAGANAGTTCTTGAGGGTAGAAGTTTTGAGTGAACTGAAGGTCACAAGAAAGAATACAGGCAATGTTGAGCTAAATAGTCATTAAGGAAAAATAAGTCAACTATGTATTAGATTCTTGATCAGCCTTTTAAACAGGCCACCATAAAGAAAATTACTTAACATCTGCTCCACTTATAAAGAAAAAAGGAACAGACTTCAATTAATTCCATCAAGAAGGCATATTTGTATAGTTCCCTATTCCTATCAATATAATTTAAAAACATCTCTTACAGTAATTTTTTAGTGGTTCAATTTTTATCTTGGTGTAAATTTTACTTTCTTTTGTCCTGGCCAATAAATTATTAAAGTATTACCACACCAAACACAAAGGAAAATAAAATTTAAATCAATGACAAAACTGAATCACGATTTACATATAATGACCACTGCATAATATAGCAGGTTGTGTGGCCAGCCAAACACTAAGATTTACAACCTTATATAAACAAACTATACAATCGCAGAAAATAAATTAATCATCTTCTACAATACGGATTCCACAGCTAGTTCAAGAATGAGAAGTCTGCGCAGTAATGATCAAGTGGTGCAGTGACACACTTCCTCATCTTGAATCCCCAATGCCATTCACAACAGTTATCAAATTCCCTGAAACAAAATTTACATATTAATAAATACGAAAACTTTTTCATCAGTCAAAATTATCATTGAGTAGTAAGTTGACAGAGTTAAACAGTCCGTACATGATTTAATGGATCATTAATTGCTATGACCACAAGATGAAAGACTGTTACATGCTGCATAAATCAGAACTCAAAGTGACAATATGCTATAACACACAAGATAACTTGGAAGGATAATCAACAAATACTGTAGTAGTTTATTTGGAGCTACCCAAGGCCAATTCCAGGCCGCTCTTCAGTTAGTTTTGATGTTATGTGAAATTATTGCTTTAAACAATCATTTATGACAAAGAAATTTTGGCCAACCGAAAAAGGCATGTAAGTAAAACACTGAATACACACTCACCATCAACTAGCCCATTTTGATGCTGAAGCTTCTTAAGCTTTTTTCTCTTTTGTTTTTGTTCTGAACCATAAGAACGCCGACTTTTTCTTACAGGGCTTCGTTGGAATAATTCTTCTGTGTTAAGCCAAGGGTGACTTAAACATTCGTGAACTGAGAGTCTGTCACTGCAATATAAGTACATCATGTTTGTAATTTACACTACTGAACATAATAAGTTAAGGCTCTATTAACAAAAAAAAGGGATTGAAAAAGCCAATAAAAACATAAACTGTTATTGTTAAGTACTATTAATAACTGACATACTCAGCATCTCGTTGTAGAAGCCTTTTAATAAAATCCTGAGCAGTGTGGGATATATTCTTAAAGTATTCCTCTGGAAAATCTAATGCAGCTAAGGAGACGTTATAGCAAGTTTCTTGCTTGTCCTCTCCGGCAAATGGTGACAGTCCAGTTAGCCTAAATATAATGATATCACAGGGATTAAACTGTACGTACCTTAGTTAAATTTATCCTAATATTTCTTACTGAAACCATCATCTCAACCACTTTCAAATGGTTAAATCAAGGCACAAAGTATGTAACTACACAGGTAATAGATATTTTCAAATCACAAATACAGGGCAGTTATGGGAAGTGGGACTATTAGACGGCAGCACAAAACTGTTTGAGACAATCCACAGTAACCTTTGTTTTCCAGTGTCTTGGAGTCTTCACCACTTTTTAAGACAAGGGAGAGACCGGGCATCTAAGCTCTTAGCTTTCCATACTTTTTTTCATTTATCAAGTAACGCACTCAAGGAATGCTTATCAACCCTACTCAACCCTACTGGCCATGATACCATAGAATAATTTGTGTTTGTTGTCTTGTGTTCATTCAGTTTCCCACTCTTCCAAAACCCTAATGAATATAAATGGGTTAAAAATAAATTTTTGAAAGGTAATTGATGGATAGGATAGAAAGCACTTACATCACATAAGCAACAACTCCAATACTCCTGAAAGGAAATCAAGACTAGTTAATTTAAGGCACTACTTATTCTAACTGTACCTGATGTACTACAGCAACATTTATCAGAGTTGACTGAAATTTACTTGACGTACCACTGTCATGTTGAGGATTTACTATGTGGGAAATATACACTGTACTATGAAAATGTATGTGGTGGACAGCTGAAATTTTCTTGATACAGTAAAACCTCAACTAAAATAGCCACTTAGTCCTAAAAGTTAGAATAGTTTATAACCATGTTCTCTTGGCCATAATAAAATATACTATACCCTGACTGTCATGTTCAATTTTAATCCTTTGTTTGTAATCCACTGGTTTGATAATAATAACTAAAAGAGTAAATTTTGGCCTGGCATTTAAGGAAGCACCCATCAAAATTTTGCTGACTGGCAAATTCTCGCCATCACTGTAGGATTTGAGGCTATAAACAGAGTTAGCTATCCTATAACTGCAACTTAATGCATAGTCTTTCAGCTTACCAAATATCACTTGGCTTTCCCACAGGCTCAAATTCAAGAATTTCAGGAGCTAGAGTTAAAGAAAGGCAACTTGATTCAGCACTCTTTGTAAAGAGTACAATTTTAATGAGACAAAATACTCTAATACCCACTGCACTGATGATTCTGGGGCCAGATGGGGTCCAAAATGAGGTAGTTTTTGAGGGGGTGGGGGTGGGGGATGGTTTCTAAAAGTCTTTTTTCCAGGGTTCTTAATAAGATTTTGCTGAGTTAATCAAAACTAACAGCTGCTCTGTTGAACCTGCTATCAGTCATTTTACTGTTAAACAATTTCAAAACAAGGATTATTGTTGTCATTGATGATCTTTTATTCGTGGTTGGCTAAATCCTTTTTTCAAAGCTATACACCATAGTTCATTGGCTGTGCATGGCCGATCGTTCATAAAGTGTAAGGTATTGCCCCCATGGTTATCAGTGACTTACCGTTATTAGCTAAGAAAGACTTCAACAAATTATATATGAGTATTGTTTTCCCAAATCCATATACCGGTAAGTAGGCAAAATTAAGGAGTTCAAAGGATGACATATTTGCTATTAGANGAGGGGGTGGGGGTGGGGGATGGTTTCTAAAAGTCTTTTTTCCAGGGTTCTTAATAAGATTTTGCTGAGTTAATCAAAACTAACAGCTGCTCTGTTGAACCTGCTTTCAGTCATTTTACTGTTAAACAATTTCAAAACAAGGATTATTGTTGTCATTGATGATCTTTTATTCGTGGTTGGCTAAATCCTTTTTTCAAAGCTATACACCATAGTTCATTGGCTCTACATGGCCGATCGTTCATAAAGTGTAAGGTATTGCCCCCATGATTATCAGTGACTTACCGTTATTAGCTAAGAAAGACTTCAACAAATTATATATGAGTATTGTTTTCCCAAATCCATATACCGGTAAGTAGGCAAAATTAAGGAGTTCAAAGGATGACATATTTGCTATTAGACACTGTATTAACATGAACAGCAATACTTTTTTTCAGTTTATTGTAGAAACATGGATACTTTTCAGATAGACGTACAGTGCAACAAATTTCTAGATGGAAATATTCCTTTCAGGAGGTACTCAATAAAGTGGCAAAATCAAGAAAATTCCACGGGATGAAGGGTCTGACAGGCAGCCCCTGGAATGCAAATTCCTTGGGGGTAATAGTTGTCTTTCTTCAGGCCTCGCCACTAGGACATTTCATAGAACCTGCCTCACTGACAGAAATTCCATACAGATGACTGATGAGGTAAAATGTATCTGTCCAGAATCTGGCTAGGGGTACTAATTGGTCGATGTGGGAGTTAAATTGTTTTAGCTATTGTTTACGAATGACAGACAAAAGATAAAAGTCCAGAAAAGGTCAGATGTAAATACGATGAATCTGCTTCAAAACAGTCAATAATATTCGTGGAATATATTCTTCTTTGAGAAGCATTTGAGTTTTGCTGGAGTTTGTTGCAGAAGAAAACAAAACTTTACCATTATCATCCAGGAGAAACATAATCGAACAAATTTACATGTGCAGCACCATGACAACCTCACCAAAGTCATGTTAACATTGATTTACGTCATCAGTATGGAATTTCCACTGCTAAGGCACAGACCTCTTTCCTGTGAAATGCCCCTAGTGGCAAGGACTGAGGAGAGACAGCTGTATTTGCAGGCTACTGTGGGGGGACGTACGCACTTTTTCTGGAACTACACATTTGTGACACACAACCCCTACATTAACTAGTTGGGTACACTACATAATAACATCCATGAGTTTACATAAATGGACCTTACCAACATACTCTGGTGTTCCAACAATTAAACATATTTGTTCACCATCTTTGATCTTTCGAGCCAGACCAAAATCTATGATCTTGATTTCAGGATAGGCATGCTCAGTCATTAGCAGAATATTGTTTGGCTTGGGAGAAAAAAAAATGAAATGACAAAAATGAGTTATTTAAAAGCTAAATTCAACAAATGCAAATCTTAAATTTCATACTGTCCGAAATATCTAAGATTTCACTTGACTGATCACATTGAAAAATTTTACTTAGAACTAATAGCAAAAGTAAGGCTTAAAGTGTCTGAAGGCACATGTTATTTTTAATTAAAAAAATTACACTGGCTTAATACTATCTAGACGTTTAGAGTACTAAAAATAGTTATTAGAAAAATATCATGCCTGACAAAAAGTTAATTTTTTCATTTATAGTAAATTCAGCCACAGATATATATATATGCCAATTTAATGGAATAAAAAAATTTTGATTAAAATAGAGTAAGGTTAGTGATAGATTATTCAAGTAGTTTCATGTGTTTTCCTTTCCAGAGAGTTCTTATCATTGGCTACTTTCGAAAAAAAGTGTAAAGCCTGGGTTTTTTTACAGTGCTACTGTCACCAATTTGGTTTGACACAAAATTAATGTAAAGACCAAAAAATCTTCTTAAAGCTTGAACCGCCTGCAAAAATTAAAAAGGGCTGACTTGAACCAGAAATATTTATTTACTCTGTGTGTGTGTTAAGGGGGGGGGGGGGGGGGTTTGTGTTTTTTGTTTTTGCGAGAGGCCGCCGGCACTGGACGTGGTTTGTGGGCAGGTGCTGTGATCTGTGGTCCCCCCTCTACAAAAAAATAATAAAAAAAAAAAAATATTTTTTTCAAAAACACCCCCCCAAAAAAAAAAAAAAAGGGGTGGTTTTAAAAAAAAAATTTTTTTTTTTGTTGGGGTGGTTGGGGGGGGGGGGGGGGGGGGCAGAGCTGTGTAAAAACATTATCAACTGGAGCAGTTAGGAAATGAACAAACAAAATTAACAAGGTAAATCCACAGAAATGCCTATGTTGCCACTGAGCATAAAGAAGGCACTGCTAGCTGCTAGCTAGGTATCCATGGAATTTCAAAGAGAAGAGGCTAATGAAAGATATTAGACTCTTGTGGTTGTTATAAACAGAACATTCATAATTAAAATAAACTCCAAGGCTTGAGTACCCCAAAGAAATGTAATAGGTCTTTGATAAGTCTATTTCAGGAATGCCATATATGGGTAACTTTACTGACAGGGCTGGATTGTGTTATGACGGAAAAAATTCTGGCAATTATGTTTGCAAAAACAATTTGGGAAGGGTATGAAATTAACACGGATTTACTGACACTTTTTTAAAATATGGATGATCTTTCTATTTTAAGTAACTTTAAAGTGATTTCAATATACAGTAAATCATACATGTATATTCATGGAAAAATTGAATTTTTTCTTGTACTCAACATTTTTGTAATAATCTGCACATATCACTTCAAAACTCCCTAAATGGTATTATTTACAGAAATAGGACTGAGGCGCTTGAAAAGCAATCAACTCCCGCTATGGCATGTCACACTTGATTAAGGCCACAGTAAAACCAATTCAGACTCCGCTAAGGCATAAATCATTAAGCTTCTGTGTAATGGTTGTTAAAATTCCAAACTAAGGTCATTCCGGCGTTTGTTTCTCGTTTAAAAAAGGTCCAACAGTATTTGTTCTACTTTTAGAAGTCGGAAATACACGATTATAATTTCCTTAGTCGTATTGTGGCGTAACTGACAGGTAATTCTGGCTTATAGGAAAAATATCAAAATCGCATACCCGGCCGACATGGCGCAAATGTACATGATTTTATCTTTTTAACAAGGCGGCGATACCGAAAGCATTTAAAATATATGCGACAGAATAAATGCTCCACTCAAGCCTTTGCATTTCGCGGCAGCCAAAAATTAAGCCCTCTTTGATTAGATGCCTTATTATTAAGAGGGTTTTCATTAAATGTTTATAGAAGTCTAAGTTATATGAATACGATCGTTTTCATTAAGAAAAATTTCATGAAATGTGTACGAAATGAAATAATAAGTGGTATATCAAAGCATGTAATACTAAAATATCGTGAATGATTAGAATGAGCAATATGAAAAAGCATGAAAAGCCGTCAGTATTGAAAGACTTTAAACATAAATGTACGTTTGTTTAGAATAAAGCTCACGAGAAAAATTTAGAAGCGGTAAAAGAAAACAAAGACGTTAATAAATAAAAATCTTCCTTCGGTTCAATGATATTATTTGTACTGTAACAAAGGAAATGTTGTAAGGATGTTTAGCAAACGCTTGAAGCGTAACGACATCCCATCACGAGAGATGCTAAGCCAAACAAACATTCGGTAACATGTAATATTCAAACACAATATCGTCTCAAAACACACAGACAATTCTCACCTTTATATCTAGATGTACGAAGTCCTGGTCATGCAAATGTTTCACCCCTTCTAAAATCTGTCTCAGAAGATAAACAACTTCCCTTTCGCTTCTACTGGACGAAGGTTCCTCTGTGTCATAAGCTATACAATGTCTATGCAGATCTCCGCCAAGAGCGCTGTTGATTTAAAAGTCACAATACAATACATTCTCATTTGAATAAATTAAACGCTAAAAAAATTATCGACCGTTTACTCACAGTTCTAAGATGAGGATAATTTCGCTCCTGGTTTCGAAGACATCGTACAGTGTGATTATCTGAGGATGTTGATAAGGCGTATTTGTGGCGTTGAGCACTTCAACCTCATGCCAAACTTCTGCTCTACAATCTTTGCCTTTCCTTCTTTTCCTCACAAATTTCGCTGCATACTCCTTTCCAGATGACTTTTCCTTACAACGTTTGACAACAGCATATTGCCCTCTGAATTAAAAAAGATTTACTTCGTTGGGTATTCGCCAAAGAGAGAACAGGTATTTCATATGGTGACACTAAACTTGATCAACGTGAACTTTTATATAAGCTTCAGCTTACCTGCCGATTTCATCGAAAATGTCGAAAAAATTTTCAATAGGTTCGGTACGAGGCGTTCGAGCCATTTTAAGCGATCTTAAGCGCTACTCGCTTATCGCAAATCTATAAGTGAAAGCGTTGGCTATCCAAAGTCAGTAGCTTATTTCAAAGAGAACTAGACCTGTGCTGGAAATATTTAGTCTGTCACACTCCATCTGTCTTGGAGAATGCTAAAATAACTCTTTGCCGATGACTTCTTTCCTCGCTTAATTGATCGACCAATCACAGATGGGAAAATTATTCACGTCTACGCCTTCACTTTATCGTCACTTCCGCTTACGGCCATAGTTCCCGTATGGAACTTGCATAGGAATGTCGCCTTTCATCAGGCGATCACAATAGATCTTGCGACTCGGTTGTGACTTCTATACATGTTGTAACTCGTAAAGCAAGTTTTTGGAAGGGTGCTTCTGAAACCAGACAAAACTGTTTCACAATAAACATTCACTCAGCAAACATTTGCCAAAATGAAACTAGGAACGAAGACGAACGAAAAGTTCATCTTTCTTCAAAAAGCACCAATCATGTAGTTAGTTTTAACTTGAATAGTGACAGAAATATTATTCATGATTATTTAAACCCAACAAGCAACCAAACATTTCGAGCAACCTGAACAAATGTATTCCTATGTGGTTTGCGGCTCTTCAGGGCGGAACTATCTTATTTTTTTTTTTTAGAAAAATGCAATATATATTTTTTAATATCATGCAAAATAGAAAAACATTACCTGTTAAGTGTAATTGCACAGTCTGGGCGCATATCCGGTGTTTTTTACCACATGCTTCGAGGTGATGACGGTCAGGAGAAGTTCAGAAAATAGAGACAACCCGAGGTTTACAAACAATCAAGCGAAATAGCCTCTTGCCCTGTATCAAGTTAACAGTTAACTTTTGTGTTGTTTTCTACCGTCTGTTTCTCAGGGAGAGTTTTTCAACATGTTGGGAGGCCGTAATACCCACGGCCTTTGTTTTAGGGCATGATAACTCGAAGAGATATCGGATACTCCAGCTAGAAAGTTCATTCGAAAAAGTTCAAAGTCCTTGTGGCTCATTTTTTATAACCAGATTTAAGTCATTAGGAAATGTTTGGCATTAGATCCACTTGAAGTACTGTATTTGCATACCAAAAACGGGATGGGGTTAGTGTTATCGACTAAAGAGTCATTATTTCAATGGGAAACGGTGTTGTCATACCAATCATTCTTTCAAGCATACCCTATTTACTGTGTTCCACATTAAATCTCCTCAATTATATGATTTAGAAAAGTCTCTTTGATACATTTTTTGTAGTTAGTAACAGATGAAGAGCCGCAATGTGGAAACCCTGTTATCAAACCGATTACTTATTTACTCACAGCATCAACTTGCATTATACTACGCTCATAAACAGATAATGTTAAAATCGCCTTAATTTTTTTAACTTTCGTCTTCCTTGTTAAAAATACTTTTTCTCGCTATATTTGCGATTTTTGTTAACAATTATTTTTGGTAGTTGTAGACTTTTGACAACTTTAATGTTCACCCTTTCTGCTTCTGTTACATATTAGTACTGTTTTGCTACCGATTTCAGAATATCCTTTAAATATGTTTTGGCTAAACTGCTATGATACACTTGCCGCTTGCAATCACTGACCATCAGTCAAAGCTACATGGCAGCTAGTGAATAACATTTCTAATCTGAGGATTTGATTCAAAATGGAAAGAGACCTCTCCAGCTCAGTATAATATATTACAGTAAACAGTTATATAAACATGATCGATGCAGGAATTCGTCTCTACGAAGCTGAAGACACAAAAGCAAGGAGAGAAACAGAAGAAAAGCAATTCATTTTTATTGGTACTTAAACGTACAATACAAAACATAGAGAAAGAGAAAAATCCTATAACCTTTTTTTATTTCATATGGTTAAAAATTGTACTGACAGTTTAGTGAGAGAAGTTCTAAATTAAAGGTTTCATGATCTTTCTCTTTTAAGTGACGATGTCGCTACATCTAATTCTTCTGATATACATCTTCCAGTTCAGGAAAATGATTGTTACATTTCCAGCATTCTTCTTTACTGCCGAAAATGTTTTGAGAATCACATTTCCACTTACGCTTGTTACGAGAAAAAAAAACCTTAAATACATTTCATCGTGCATAAATTTGCACGCATGGGGCATAGCGCAATTAATACACACCGTCTATGAACTCAAGATAAACTAAGCGCATTCCTAAATGACAGTTATATACATAGCCAAGATATCGAGATATTTTTAACGGCCACATTTTTAAAAGACAAGTGGCCCTGCGAGAACCATTTTTAGTCTGTAAAAAGCGAGGTGATCCTATCTTTTGTCAAATGTTGGGGGGGGGGAGGGGAGGGTATGCGAGAATATATGCCGACAAAATGGAACCTTGAGCGGGTTAGAGAATTTTCTTCAGTTAGATTTTGATATTTTTAGAGTGAAATTGCCGTATGTCTTGCTAAGTTGTTTATTAATCACCCCTTTAACCTCAAATTGTTATGAGTAAGCAAGACAGCTACCCACGATTTGTACGGATTCTTTGAACATACTTTAATGATTCATATCTGATCTGCTAGAAGATAAATTTATTCAAATAATCTCACTTTTCCGTCCACGCCATACCTCGCCCATACTTAAACGCATTTCCTACGCTTCAAAAGATCCTTCAAAGATAGAAACAAACTAAGCAAAATATCCTTTTTGGTTTCTCCGAAGCGACTCTAAAGTTACCACAATAACACAAGGGAAGAGGCTCGATTCTAAGCCAAGTTGTTCAAAAGACGGCGAATGCATGAACCGTCATTCAGTTAACTTATCACTCACTCTTTCATATCATGTCAAGTAGAACTCACTTTTTATTCTGTGGACGAAATACTGACCACGCTGCAACCATTTGAAACTAAAAACCTCGTTGGCAGCATTCTTTTTCAAAATTTTACACGATGGAAATAAGGATTTAAATTTCAACGTTTAGAACTCTCTGGAGATATTAGGGATAAAAAATCATTGTGTTCTTTATGTTACGTCTATCCACTAAGCTATTCCCTTTTTGGAGAATTAGGGACAGACGTGTGAGATTATTTACACAACGAACGAATCGCTAACACCGAATTCGTCCAAAAAATATTATCATTCTACCAGCAACAAAACATGTATCTGATTTTTAACGAAACCTTTTTAAATAATTCTTCATCTTAATTTTAACGTAACATTTCGCTCCACGAAAATGTTAAATTACTTCAATTTAAATTAATTATTCTAACTTTTCAATATCGCACAAAACTTTTTGATAATAAAACTAAGCGCAGAGGAGATTATTTTTTTTCCTTCTGAGGTTTCGCATTCAGGGCACAAAAACTGCGGTAAACCGGTTACCACAAAATAAAACGTAACCGCAAAGCTAAGTATTGTAGAAATATTTAAGAAAACCCATTTGTGGTGAGTAACCAGATACACGAGTTTATACACAACTTCTTCAGTTATTTCACTGTCAGATTATTGCATAGCAAACGTTTCGGATTCCTCCACCGCAAAGGTAAGCTTCTCCAGTAGTTCTTCATAAGAACGATAAAGTGGAAGATCCAGCCGATTGAAACACGTGTGAGCCCTGAAAATTCAAAGAAGAGTAGTTTATAAGAAATGCGCACATGTATGTCTATGACACAAACTCTCTTCGATCACTTAACCCCACGAGCAGCCGTGCCTTCTAACAATGGTTTTTGCGTTATTCTTGCCTTCGCTGGAAATACATAACGGTCTAATAACCCGCAAGTAAACATGAGTAAAGATAACTAAAATTCGAGCAAGTTTTATCATAACTTGATAAGAATAAAAGGTAATTTTGCCGAAGTTAAAGCGTTCTTCACTATGGAGACTGTGTGGGTAGCCCTAATTAATCCTTAACAAGCCGCTTTAGCTCTTTAGTTCTATTTAATACCAAGTAAAATACAAGCTTTGTATATTATTTTTATGTCTTCCTTAAACAGAAACTTTATCAAAGTTTCCAGGAAACAGATTCCCGTATATAAGTTTGAAAGTGTGTTTAAGAGGTTTTTTCTTGGAAAGGTTGTTCAGCACAACGGCAAAGAATATGGTGTAACAATCGCTGTCGATGGGCCGCAGCAAAATAGCTGTTTAGAGAAAAACACACAAAGCGCTAGAATGATCGATAGCTTAATTTTATAGTATTTTATTATCAGCAGTCAGAAGGCCTTTATAGCCACTTTGGTCAAGTGTCTACCTGTACCAAGCGCTCTCGCCTTCTCCTCACTCCAAACGCTCCGTTTGCGCGCGGAAACGTTTGCTTAGCAGAATAAGAATGGCCTGAAACCAGGCTCTGCAGTGGGGGAAAAAACCAGAAACGTGTGAAGCAGCGAAAAAAATCGAAGCGACCGAAGCGAGCCAGTCTACCGCTCGGCTCGCTTCGCTCGCCGATTCCCCCCCCCCCTCCCATTTTGCCCCAGTGCAGAGCCTGGTCCCAGGCTAAATATAAAATATGCGAATATACAAGGTTTTATTGCTAATAATTAGGTGAGACTTATCCGGAATCACTAAGAGAGTGATAGCCGACTTACAGGTGAAGGAGCTTGATTTAGTGACCCATCTTAAAAGAGTTCGTTTAATTACGTTTATGTCTGCCTGTCTGCCTATCTACCTACCGGTCTATCACGTTTTTTTTCAATCCCTCTTCCACGCACCCAACACGCGGAGCGCTTTGGGAGAGGGTAATAGCACAAAATAACACTTTCCGGATTTTTAATGGTCTTATAGACCCCCCTGCTTTTGAGACAGACCAAGAATCAGGTGTATTAATACTAATTTTGCTGCCATAAACTGCCTAACAATCAATACAACTAAATGAAGAATTTGTTCACTGGGAGCTTGACGCAGAGTGCTGATCCAATATTCTACAGGTTACAAAATATTGACGTTTAAGTTTCTTTTTTTAATTTGTTGTGCAATCAGCGGCGTTAAGCTATTAAGGCAAAACGCAGCATTTTAATAAGTAATTGACGTAG